CACTCTGTAAGTCCCATTTTTTTTCTCTGTAGAGCATTGTCCTTCAGATCTGTCTCTTATAGTCATAAAAAGCTTGAGCATCCATCTCACAGCCTTATACTCTTGTTGTTAGTGTTCATATGTGTGTGTGTACTGTTAATAAAAGTGATATACATTCATTTTTGAATACTTTGAATATACAGAAATTACTACTGTTAATATTGTTGAGGACCAGAAAAATGATACCCCAAAGTATGGCACTTTGGCATGCTGAGCACTTTGAACTACAGAAAATGAAAAGGTTTTAGAAGCATCCTCAGAACCAAAGACTTTCTGACCTTCTCCCGTTTCTCTCCCTAAGTGAGGGCTGAAACTCTCTCTGAAGTTCCCTTATCTGAAGCTTCTTCAGAAGGAAGAAAATTGCCTTCAATCCCCTCCTGAAATTTCATTAACCGGGAAAGATTAAACTTACATGGCAGGAAGGAAGACTGAGGAGTGTCACCACACCTAAACAGACTTTGTCACAAGCTATTGTCTGTTTATAGTTCCCATACAATTTCTTAAAATAATCATTGACACATTATTGTCTGTTCTTTGTTTTGGGCCCATTCAATTTTCTAAAACTCATTTAGTACTCCTTAAAATTGCCTATATTCTGCCATCTTCCTCTCCCCTCTGAAAGAGGGCATACAACCTTCTCAACCTTGGGGTTATTGGGAAATCACTTCCCTGTGATTTCCCTGTGCACATAATAAACTTGCTTTTTTTTTCTCCTGTTAGTCTATTGACAGTTGATTTCAGCAGACTCACATGTAAACCAAAAATAAAATTCTAAGCACCCCCAACCAACTGAATAGACTCCTCTTCTTAGCCAAGGGCATTCTGAAGTTAACCTCAAACAATAGTTCAGGCCAGGAGAGTAATGAGTGGTCAGACATGCCTCATTCTACCTTCCTCCCTTTGGAATTCAGGCACAGCTGACCAGCATTAATATTAAAACAGAGACCATAAGAGTGACAATAACAGACTCTTTGTAGCAATAAGACACCAACATGACAGTAGGCCCTAAAAGAAATTAAAGTATTTTACCCCAAAATACATTTTTTTGACCCATTTTGAAATGGCCCTGCAAAGCTGTCTGTTGTGAAGAAAGTATACATTTTATATAGAATCCTCTTCATTTTCCAGATCTTTGTGATGATCCAGGAGAGAACAACTGAGTCTGGCACCTTTTTAAGTCTGATAAGAAACATTTACAATCTATTCTCTCTGAAGCCAGCTACCTGGAAGTTTCATCTAAATAATAAGAACCTTGGTCTCCAGAATTCCTTACCTTAACTTAAACACTCCCTTCTGTCTATTCTAGGTCTTTAGATAAACTCTTTCAACCAATTGCCAATCGCAAAATCTTTGAATCCACCTATGACCTGCACACAACCCCTCCACCCATATACCCCCGCCTTGAGTTGTCCCACCTTTCCGAACCAAACAAATACATAATACATCTTACATGTATTAAGTGATGTCTTGTATCTCCGTAAAATGTATAAAACCAAGCCAAATCACCTTGGACACATGTTCTTAGGATCTCCTACAGCTGTGTCATGGGCCATGGTCACTCATATTTGGCTCACAATAAATTTTACAGAGTTTGACTCTTCATCAACATGCATCTTAAAAGGAGAAGGGAAAATTCCCTTCACCTCTACAACACCGTTAGTGTTTTGTAATTTTTGTTCAGATTTTTTTATACTTTATCATTTAACAGTACATCCGCCCGTCTCGGCCTCCCAAAGTGCTGGGATTACAGGCTTGAGCCACCGCGCCCGGCGGATCACGAGGTCAGAAGATCGAGACCATCCTGGCTAACACGGTGAAACCCCGTCTCTACTAAAACTACAAAAAAACTAGCCGGGCGAGGTGGCGGGCGCCTGTAGTCCCAGCTACTCGGGAGGCTGAGGCAGGAGAATGGCACGAACCCGGGAAGCGGAGCTTGCAGTGAGCTGAGATCCGGCCACTGCACTCCAGCCTGGGCGACAGAGCAAGACTCCGTCTAAAAAAAAAAAAAAAAAAAAACCAAAACAGTACATCCTCCAAATTTTTAAGTGTTATTAAAATGTCTTTATAGTATAACTAATCCTTAATAGCCTAATGTAAATATGCACCACCATTTATCCATCCATTTGTTGAATGTTTGTATAATAATACATTTTCATGATTGTAAAATTTTTGCAATAAGCATTTTTGTGCATTACTCATTGTACCAGTTTGAATTACTCCATTAGGCTATATTCCCAAGATAAGAGGTCAAATATCATGAAAAATTTTGACTGTAATTGGATAAACTGAGCACTCCCAGGGGTATTTATAAAGAACAATAGGTGGTTAGAATGTTGCTAACAACCCTGACTTTGGCACTTTTCTTATCTAAAGCTATTCCATCAGCTCTCAGGCTTTTATTATGCTGAGTGGGCCATGGGAACTGAAAGAACTTTTTGAGAAGCCCAAAGTTAGAAATGCTGGGAATAGTAAGAGCAAAAGTAGGAAAGGAAAGAGATGTAAATAGTACCAGGGGTAGTGAAATTTTGTGAGAATGAACAGGGATGTTTAAAGGAAATATAATAGGATTTAGGAAAAATCTTTTTTATGGAACCTACATTCTCTTTCACAAAAAGCTTGTAATGTTTGTTCACACTCTGTCTTCAAGAAGTTCAGACGGGTCACATGGAAATTTACTAAGGCTGGTACACAAAGGCTTATAAATGCAAACTTCAAAAGCATATCTGCAAAGCTTGCATGCTATGAATCTATAAAGTAGGTATCTGGGTTAAGGTTATAAGCTTTTGGAACACAAAAAGCCTTAAAAAAGGCTTTTAGCTACTGTCCGGTGGTTTTAAATTTGGGAGGAGGAGGTAGAGGGTGGGACTTATGGAAAGGCCTGTAATAATAGTTTCCAAGTTTAGATGTTAAGGAGAACTGGATACAAATATATGCAATTTTCAACAACACCCATTTTTCTGTAAAAAAGGGTTTGATAATTTCTAATGAGGCAGTTTAAGTCTAACATTTTGTTTAAGACCATAAACTCAAGCACCATGCTGCCTGGGTTCAAATACAAAATAATAAAAGGCAAAAAATGAATAAAAATGGTTTACCTGTATAAGAAAAGAGAGAATAGGAAAAACAACCCGGGGTGGAAGCTAGTTTTGAATTCAGAATCATGTAAATGTCACACATATCTTCAGAAAAATAATAAGTCCAAAGGATGACAGAACAAACCATCCCCAAAATTAGAAAATAGAGTGAAACAAATAAACCTAAGTAGGCCGGGTGTTGTGGCTCATGCCTGTAATGCCAGCACTTTGGGAGGCTGAGGCGAGCAGATCACTTGAAGTCAGGAATTTGAGACCAGCCTGGTCAACATGGCGAAACCTCGTCTCTACTAAAAATATAAAAATTAGCTGGGCCTGGTGGCTCACGACTGTAATCCCAGCCTCAGGGAGACTGAGGCAGGAGAATCACTTGAACCCAGGAGGCAAAGATTGCAGTGAGCCAAGATAGCCCACTGCACTCCAGTCTGGGAAACAGAGCGAGACTCCATATCAAAATAGTAAGTAAGTAAGTAAATAAATAAATAAATAAACCTAAGTATATATTGGTTGGTACCATACTTGCATGGATAAGAATTATTTCAAATACTTTTCAAACATGTTAGCTTGACTCTACATCCCAAAACATAATATCCTGACTCTACGTCCTTGTATCCTAAGAAAAATTCACTGAAAAAAACACTGAAATTGTATTCAGTGGTATTACGCTAGTATTAATGTTGGTGTCGTTATTTCAGTATTTGGTTTGTTGGTACTGTTATTGTTAATGGAAAAATCAACCTCTGTAAAATATTTTAGAGAGGTTTATTCTAAGCTAGTATGAGTGACCATGGCTTCGGGAAACACAGTTTCAAGGGGTCCTGAGAAAATGTGCCCTAGGTGGTCGGTTTGGTTTTATACATTTCAGGGAAAGAGGAATTGCAGACAAAGACATAAATCAATACATGGAAGGTATACATTAGTTTGGTCTGAAAAAGTGGGATGTTTTGAAGTAGAGGCTTATAGGTTATAGTTAGATTCAGAAATTCTTCAATTTGCAATTGGGTAAAGAAGTAAATCTTTGTCTAAAAATTTGGAGTTAGCAGAAAGGAATTTTTATGATAAGAAAGTCTGTTAACCAATAGACTGGGTCAGAGTGACCTGTAAGCGTGTGTGACTTAAGCCTTGTCTGGCATGGCCTCGGGTCCTGTTTATAATTGGGTATCTTATTGTCACAAAAAGTCCATTATGTTAGTCTTACGATCTCTGTTTTAACATTAATGCTGCTTGGTGGTTTTGTCTAAATTCCAAAAGGGAAGGGGTATAATTCCATATATCTGACCTTCCTTCCTGTCTTAGACAGGAATTCAGTTTTTAAGGTTTTTCTGGGACCCTCTTGACCGAAAAGGGATCCTTTTAGTTGGTGATGGCCTAACATTTTTAATTTACATTATTTTAAAACTTTCATGTACATTATTGTATATCTTATGTACACACATACTTATGGTAGGATAAAGCAAATGAATAATATACTTATGTCATTATAAAACAAGGATTTTCAAAGAAACAGAAAAGAGATACAAATATGAAATCAAATAAGTTATGAAATAAACCAAAACTTAAGATTTTCGATGTATTTATTTCTAAAAAAAAATTTATTTCCTAATATCACTTGCCAAACATGAAACAAATAGTATAATAAAAAGATGACAGCAATAGATCAGAATATATGTCTTGATATAGATATACAGATATAGATATATGTTAATATCATAATGATATTCATAAAGAAGCTTAACTTCATAATGATATTCAAAAGGAAATTCATACATTAGATTTGATGATTACTAAGAACTCATTATTATAATAATAAAAGAAGAAAAGATAACATTTATTCTGCTTTCCTGTTGAGATTATTTTTCAGAACACCCAAAAAATGTATGAAATTTCCTCTTTAGAGAAGAATAACAACTAATTAAACTCAGGAGTAATATTAGAATTGAAATATCACCACTTTGCACCCTGAATTAAATAATAAATGCTAAAACTATTAGATGGAAGATTGATGGGAAAAATTTTAATGGATAGATGACAACACTTGAACCATCTTAACCTAAATAAAAATAAGAGAATACATTATGTTCTTCCTGATGAGATGCAATAGGAAGTTCAGATTATATCACCTCTCTATGGTCTGTTGTTACCAAAAAAAGTAAAAAGCAAAGATGAATCTAATCAAGTCTGGATCTACTGCCAAATTATTGCAAAAACATGGATGTGGAGAAACATGTTAATTAATACCACATTCATATAATCAGTCCAGTGAAAAATGTAAGAGATTTTGCAGTACAAATGATTTGGTAGCTGTAATGAGAAATGGCATAAAAGGAGGTAGGGAGACTTAGCATACAATACAAACATGCTCACACGATGTGCTTACTCTCATAGGTCTGATACATGCTTCTTTTCTAGTCCTACTTGATCTAATACATAGGTCTAAATATATGCTTCTTTTCTAGTCATACTTGATCCCAATCTTCCTATCTTACTCCTTCCTGACTTCTCACCAGAGAGCTAAACCATTAACTATTGCCTAAGGGTTCATGCATACCCTTAGATTGGACTACTTTTCTTACTATACAAATGAAGGACCAGATGAACTGACAGATACTCAGCCTAAGGGATTTTCCTCACAACTGTCTTTCAGGGACATTCCCAAGTAAGGGGTATAGTAAAATAGCAGTTCATTTTCCACCAGTAACCATGTATCAACCCAATCTATCCACAGATCAAACTCAAACTTTCTTTCTCTATCAGCTGGTAATGGAGAACTCCTCCCATGAGGCTGAGGGAGTGTTATTAATGAAACATTTTTCAGGTGACATGGAGGTCCAAGTCATCTTTCTTGCAGCTTACTTAAGCTCTCTGGACTTAATTGAGCCCAAAACTTAATATAACACTTCCATTTTACAACCGATTGCTGCTGAGGTTGCCTAAAGTTATGACTTGTTAACTAATGGTCTAACTCAGTTGAAGATAGATAATTTTATTATGTGGTCATTTGATGTACTAGGTTCAGAAGACTGGCTTTTATGTGAGTACAGTAGTATATCAAAAACTGTTTTTCTTTTTCTTTTATCTGCTAATTTATTTTAGAGACAGGATCTTGCTGTATTGCCCAGGCTGGTCTCCACCTCCTGGCCCCAAGTGATCCTCCTGCCTCAGCCTTTCGAGTTGCCAGGTTTACAGGAGTGAGCCACCACACCTTGCAGAAAAGCTCTTTTTCAAATGGTGTATAGTTCTCTCATGCAAATGGTTTATCAGTCTGAGTCCTATCAAAAGAAAAACAACAGATTAATTTAAACATGAAAAGTTTAATATAAAAAATTGGCAACAATAAGGGATTAGAATATAAAGAGATTAGATAGTAAGAGTAAGAAGAATTAACAGAATGTAGGAGGAGCAAATAAAGGAACATTAATTATTCCTAGGACTGAGATTAAACACCCAGAGGAGTCTCACCCTCCATCCAGAGATGAGATCTAGACCTTATGTCAGGAACTGAGAAGGGTCTGATGTTTGTCCTCCTTGACAACTAACCAGTTAGTCTGCAACAGATTTGTAGATGCTGGCAGAAAACACGAGATGCTAGAATCAAAGACAAATAACACAGAATAAGAAGGTGTCTTAATGAAGGCAATTTACCACAAACTCCCGCTATGAGAGGTTCTGCGGGGAGCTGCTGGCCGCTGGGTGATCATGATGGCCAATGTGCACTGAAAGAGCCTAGCACAGGAGAAATTACAAGTGTTGCAAGAGCTTGGTGCTAGAGAAGCCTCATCTGCTGCAGCAGTACAGGGGAAGTTTTATGTGCTGCAGGAGCGTTCGGAAACCAACCATGCATTGGGAAACAGGAAGCAAAACCATTTTGTCCTTGCAATGTCTCTCCAATGCCCTCAGCTAAGAAATCAGTGCCACCTTTCAAAAGGAAAATACATGTATGCATGTGTGTGTATACACACACACACACACATTTTTTTGTGCGGGGCGATGGGCGGTGGGGACGGAGTTTTGCTCTGTCACCCAGGCTGAAGTGCAGTGGTGTGATCTTGGCTCACAGCAACCTCCGCTGCCCGGCTTCAAGCCATTCTCCTGCTTCACCCTTCCAAGTAGCTGGGATTACAGGCACCTGCTGCCATGTCCAGTTAATGTTTTGTATTTTTAGTAGAGACAGGATTTTGCCATGTTGGCCAGGCTGGTCTAGAACTCTGGACCTCAGGTGATCCACCAGACTCAGCCTCCCAAAGTACTGTAATTACAGGTGTGCACCACCGTGCCTGGTCCCCAAAGGAAAATATTTAAATATTTAAAGGACTTAGTTCCATTAATACAGAGGAGGCAAATACATAAATTTGGAGCTAAAAATAAATCAACTGGTAGCCAGTACAGGTGGCATGCTGTTGCTCTAGAATGTAAGAGTGTACACTTTGACTCTGCTTTTCACTTTTGCTAGAGGCTTAAGAGGGCGTCTTTCTCTAGTACCTTTGTACATGATGGGTTACATGGTCCAAGTAGATCTACCTATACCACAGTCAAAACATGTCAGAGCCCACAGTTAGAGCCCTTACTTGCTCTGAGTTTGCATTCGAAACTAGTAGACTCCCAAACCGTCCAACAGAAGGTTTTGGGCACTATTTCAGGTGCAAAATATGCTACTTCTAAAATCCAAATGAACTTACCAAGATTTGTCCATATTGGTGGGTAGTCCATATTGGTGGGTAGTGCGATAAATTGTTGTTTACTTTGGAAGAGATACCCTAGATGACAAGATCACTAAAAACTTCAGCGAATGATCATGTCCTTGAAACTTTATAGAGTTTATCTCCCACCTCTTAAAACATATATCTTAGCAAGGTACCCAGAGTATTTTCCATTTCTTGCTCATCAGGTTCACTTAATAAGATGTCATAAATCTCGTGTACCAATACATTATTTTGTAACATGTCCACATGATCAAGGTTCTTTTAGACCATAACGACAAAGAACAGGAGAATTAACATAGCACTGAGAAAAGTCCAATAACATATACTGTTTTTTATTCAATGAATGCATACTGCATTTGATCCCCACCACCTTCTTTTGTAGAATAAATTGTATGTAGGGCCTTACCATACTGTCCTTTTTTTTTTTTTTTTTCATTTCTTAATACAAAATTTTCTTTTACTTTCTAAAGCCATTCCTTAGCTGCATAACTTTGGGCAAGTTAATTAGCTTCTCTGTGGATCAGTTGCACCATCTGTAAAATGCAGACGACAATATAAATATCTCAAATGTGTTATTTTTAGAAATAAGTGAGTTAACACATGTAAAGTAGTTGGAATAGTTCCTGATGTGCAATAAGCATACAATGTTATTATTGCTGCTTTTAAAAAAATCTGTCCCACACATACATTTGTCCTATAAGTAGAGCTGTAGACTAGTCTGGTGATCAGGAAGAAATTCTCAGGCCACTGTCTGCATGTCCTACATATGCTGTCCATCAAGCTCTAGCATTCATAGCTGTCTAGAAAATCTGCCTCTTAACCTAGTGAGAAGATGCTTTGGACATCTGGTGATTATGTACCATTTTTTGAACTTGGGTCTATTGAGTAGTTAAGGATGATATGAGAAGGTGGAAAGAAGCACTATGTGACTTCACTCAAACTTTGCATTTCTTTATATTTGAATATTTATAAGGTCTGTAACAATTCTAAGGGGCATCAAAAGATTAGGTGAAGAATTTTTCTTGCCTTTCCCAAGTCAAAAACTTTATAGAAAGTTTTGCATTGTGACTGTAATGTAATTCTCATCAGTGCATTTTTTTTTTTTTTTTTTGCCAATGCGTTTGTACTTAAATTTGTTGGGGTTTTGGCTCAGCAAGTCTATGCCTCAACTGTCTTCAATGCAGGTGCAGGACACAATTGACATATAGGCCCAGTTATAGGTAAGTGTTTACATAAATTTCTCAATCCAGATTGCCATATTACTACCAGGAAAATAGATGATTTACATTCTCAACAACAATGTGTAAGATTCTAGTTTAAAATACCTTCACCAGCACTGAGAACTATTCATTTTTATTTTTGTTCATTTGATAAGCCGATAACTCTGCCCTCCTTTTTATAAGAAAAAGAAACATCATTCGTGCATAAATTCCTTACATTCTATTTTCTTTTCATAGCTACAGGGATATCTACAATTATACCCATCTTCATCTCTTTCCTTTATTTAAGTCATAGAGGATGTTGACATCCCTCCTTCTCTTAGAGGTTAGCCTACTACTTGTAATCTGATTTTTCATGCATTTTCTTCTGGGACTTGCTACATTAACTGTATTCTTGTTGGTACTTTCAGCCCTCCCTTCTCTATTTACTGCTTCCTCTCTACCTGAAACATGAGAGTCTCGATCACTTTAAAATTACTTTTTCTTGATCCTGCATCATCTCTTTTCTTTATTTTGCCACCTCTTTTCTTTCTCTCCTTATCCTTATTTCTATTCCTATCTTGAAAGAGTGGTCGACGTTTCTTCATTTCTCATGTCCATTTAAAGTCACTCACATAAGATTTTCATATATAACTTTTCAATATGATTATTTTGGAAATGATTTCCAATAATCCCCCTAGTTCATAATTCTAATGGCTACTTCCAGTTTATATAGCATTTTACCTCTTTAAGTTATTTGGCATCATTGACACTTGTCTTCTTTTTCTGAAATGCTTTCCTCTATTAGCTTTTGTGCAAGATTTTATTTTGTTTTCTTGTTTTGTGTGTTTTTTTCTTTTGTCAGTAAACATTCATCCTCACTCCTTTCTATTCTCTTCTAATTATTGCTGGAGCTCGAAACACCAGGAATTAAATTTTCAAACTCCTTTCCCACCAGAATTTTGCAGTAATTTACATTCTGACAATGAGAGCTTGCTTGAGATTTGAAACACAGAGGAAGCAAAAATCAATTATTTTTCTGGAATCAATGGGCACCAGTAAAGGCTTCTGCAAACATGTAGTCAGCTGTGATTATTAACAGCAATTGTCCAAATTTCTAATAAGTTATAATAAATCTCTTTCTGACTAAAATAATTAGAGGTGTTTATGTTTATGTTTTTCTGATAAAAGCCTTACTAGTCAGCTTCCATGAAAAATACTCTGGTTTTTATTCTGATCCTTCTCCTACATCTCAGTCTGCTCTTTCTCAGTGTCCTTTGCAGCATCTAGTTCCTCTCTGCATTCCTTAAATGTTGATGATCATTGATGCTCCTCTTTTCTCATCCTACTACATCCCCTCCCTAGTCAATATCACTCATTCCCATATATTATTCTTAAGTTGCAAATTCATATACAATAATAATGATCACATTCATCAGATTGGATTTGAGGTAAAGGATAATTCCACAATTTTAGTGGCTTACACAAACAAAAGTTTATGAGTTACTTGCATTTCATATCAACTGTGGGTCACTGTGAGTAGGATGTGGGGTTGACCCCTATTTGGGACACACTGTTATTACATGGTTCTCAAAACTCCTGCTTGGATGTGGCATATATCATCTGCATGATCAAGCATAGCATGAATGGTATAGGTATGTATATTGTTTACATGGGGAGGCACTGCAACTCACCTAGCAATTGGCATGGTTGTATACTCCTGCTTCAGGGATAAGGAAGTTAATATCTGTGGATGACAATTTAATCTACCACAACATTGATACTACTAATATCAATAATTTAAAACTGTTACAATGTACAGTATTCCTACTTCTAAAAATCTTTAGGATGCTTTTTGTTTATTATTTCATAAAATATCTACAATAGAGATAAACAGAAAATGTAAGAAACATAATGACCTAACTGCCATTTTCTTTCCCTCCACTTCTTACACTTCAAGTCTGAAGCAACTGATATTAACAGCCAAGTGAGTGCTGGTAAAGCCTCTGGCTCTGCTGAGATTTGCAGCTGATTGCTAGTTGTCTGTTACTATCCATTCTCTTCTTTCCATGTAATAGAGTAGAAAGTAGTCACATATCTTCCCAGCCAAAGTTTATAATCTCCAGATATCTTACAGTTAAGGGTAACCACATCACAAAACTTTGCTCAAAGGAATGTAAAAAAACGAAGGTACTGTGTACCACTCTGAGACTTGAACAGCCAAAAATGATTGGGAATAGGCCATTCTTTCCACTAGTGAGTAGGTGAGAATCAATGGAGGATCTTTCCAGAGTTGCACAGGAAGGTCACAGCTATAAGTTGAGTATGGCAGAGATAACTACAAGGACAAGTTTGCCTATTTATCTCTAAACTACTACATGGACAAGGATAAACTTCTTCTTGTTGAAGTTTCTTGGTCCCTTTATTATAGTAGCCTACCTTGCAGCCTAAATAATACAGGGCCCTGGTGGAGAAACACCAGTCTGATGTATTTCTTTTCCCCTTTTCCCATTCCTTTTCACCTTGTTGGTAGACATTTCTGGAACACAGCCTGGGAGTGAGGACCAGAAATCTCTGGATCCTGTTAAGAGACTCGCATTCAGATCTTAGTGGACCCATGAGGGAAAGATTGGCACTGGCCACACAAAAGCATGTCAGGTCTCTAAATTAGTTTCCAAGAAGACTCTCATTTCCCTTTACCCTGCTTTATTTTGTTACATAAGTTATCACTATATGAAATACTACATAATTAGTTAAATTAAAATACCTGAACTTTTGTGTCCAAGATAAAGCCAGAAAATAGGCTCTCTGAATGGGATGTTTGCTGGGGTAATGGCACCCAGTTACAATATTGGGTCCTAAGAGAGATGATACAACAGCTTGAGGTGATTCCAGACTTCCACAACAAACTGAGAGATGTTTAGGGCTGAAGACGGAGGAAGGACACTGCTGACCAGGAATGATTTAAACTAAAGACCTCCATTTCCAGAGTGAAGTTATCCTTATTAAGGAAATTATCTTGGGAAATGATGCTCTTTGTCCACACATTTGAAAAGAATCTTGCCTCTGAGCAAGTGCAATCCAAGCATAGAGCTAGCTAGCCATCAGCCCTTCCAATGAAGGCATCTGTAAGCAAAGA